TTTCCTGGCTGAATCCAGCACATTGAAGTATTAATACTTACTTGGATGTATTCACATTATATTATTCTATTGTAATTTAAATATTATTGGAAAAGAATTTGAGTAGATTATATTGCAAGAAACCTTTTCTTCCACACAGTCAAATTAACAGAAGAAAGATTACTTATTTTGTTTGAATGGGGGCAAAATGTTTCTCACTGTCACTCTCTAGAACTGCGATAAAGAAAAGGAAAGATAACCTTGAAAAGTAAGTGTAGTGAACACACACTGATTCCTAAACCTCCAATAGATTTCTGGTTGCATGTGGAGGGCAAGATACTAAGCTATTTATGTTATAATGCATAGAGGAGTGTGTACACGCACAGTGATACATGGTTCTTAATCTTTAGCTATCCCTGGAGATTAAAATTTCAGAAGTTTGAGAAATAGTAGAATAAAATAGAATTCAATTTGGGTAACAAAGGTGTGTATTAATGCTTGGAAATAAATTGTATGCCTTAACATCAGCTATTCTGTCTTGTGTTGTCAAGATGTTATATATAGTTATATTTTGTGGTGGGGTGATGAGTGCCTCAGTTCTATGTTTCCACATATTTCTAAAGGTTCTGTGAACTCAAAACTCACAATTTTTTGCTTGGGCAGTGACTCAGTAGCTTCAGTACCTTGTTAACAATAAGTTCTAGGATAGTGGAAAATGCTACCTTGTGTACTGTAACTAAAAGCCATTGTTACTGGTGCTTTGGAGAAGACTGACATTTACATTAAGGCATTATCAAAGATGCCAGTATTTTTCATGAAAGCAGAATGACAATGCCTGAACATCAGATCTTGAAGGATGAGTAGTAGCTCTACAAAGGAAGTCTGTGTGGTAGTGTGCTGGTTATTGAACAAAAAGATGCTTTCTGCAGAAAAACAAACCAATTGACAATGGCAAAACTGTAGTTCTTCTAGATAAAGGCAAAAATAACTCTTACAAACATTTTTCTACTTTGGAAAGTTTTGGGTTTTTTTTTTCCCCTTGTAACATGGATAACGTATCCACAAAGATTTTTTTTTTTTTCTCTAAATGGTAGATTCGTAGGTGTGTATTTTAATGATATCCTTGTCTCAAACTTGGCATTTTTTACTGTTCTTTCATTTTCTTCTTCATGTGTGAGGGGTCTTCTGACCTGAGTCCTTGATGATTTGTAAAATTGCAGTTGTGTTCACATGCCTTTGGTTATTGATGCTATTTGTAATAGTTTATGATATTTGGTAGCAATAACAAAAATGTTTTCATTATGTAGGTAACTTTTTTATCTAGCTGATCACATTTGTAGCTTTCATGAATTTACACTTAAATTCATAGTTAACTCAATACATACTTGTGGTTTCAATTCTTCTATATGCTACATCATAAACAGGGGGTTTGTTTATTGTTAGGTTGAGAACCTGTTTTCAGACTGAATTTCTAAAGTAAATATATACTTTATTGCTACTTAACAGTAGAAATGCCTTAAAAATTTGGTGAAGTAAAATATAATTATTTTTCTTTTCTTACAGAATTTTTTTTCTATAAAATTCCTCAAACGTCCTTAACTATTGTTGGGGGTTTTTTTCTTAATAAATGCAAAGAAGATCTCTTTTTAAAATAAATTTTATGTTGTGATGTAGTTCAGCATGGGCAGAAATAACATTTTTGGTTTGCAGAAATGCTTCTATTTTACTGTATTTGCTTTGTTGGTGGAAGTACTTGTTAATTTCTGGGCCTCTGGTGCTCACTATCACAATACAAATAAAGCTCATACCAACGTGTCAGTCTGCAAGGCAGATTGTGTGGTAGTCTGTGCCTGTGCAAAATTCTAAGATAAAAACCTGGTAGTTCAAAATACACTGGACACACTTGTTCTAGTCTTAAGATAAAAATGAGATTGTCTCACATGAGAAGCTTCCTGAAAAAGACACATTTTATTTTTCACAGTTCTGGACTATTTCCACTCCTTGCCAATGCTGCAATGTCTGTCAAGCCAACATTATTGAGTCTGTATGAGATTTATTATCTCCCTCTGGGTAAAACATTGAAACCAGGACTGCAAGGACTGTTAACTGGGATTCTGCCTGGGTTAGAGGAGGGGTCAGAGTATTACGAAAGGTAAGAACAGTTAGGTTAATAAGGTGATCTGCTTGATTTTAGTTTTGGGTGGTTTTTGTTTGGTTTTTTTTTTTTCCCCTGCAACTCTTAGTTAAATACTTGTATGTGGATTTTTTTTTTTTTTAAGATAGGTGGTATTTATTTTCATCAAGTCATATTAATTGCAATGGGGTAGTATGGTAGAGGATTCTTAACGTTATTTATGATAAACAAACTGTTAGTTGTTTTGACATTAAGTGGACTTAGTGTTATGTTCTTGTTATGGATTAAGGTACATGTTAGGAACATGTTGCTTGTTTTTTTCCCCTGGGTTTCCTCTAAGGTAGTACTGCCATATTATTCCTTGTCTAAAATACATAACTGAATTTAAGATAACTAACCAAGCTTCCATCATGAAGATTTACTTGTTATGATATCTAACTTGTCATTAAGCCACCTATGTAACAGACAGCAATGATCCACCGAGTTTTAGAGGATATCACACTTATTTCTAGTAGAGTGGCCTAGGAGGTAATAGCTGCTCTTAGTCAGCAAGCCTAAGCCCCGCTCAAGTTATCTTGACCATGGTGTCTGGGGTGCTGAGGCAAAATCTTAACATATTAAAGGATGAAATTACCCCCCAAGGCTTTGAGTTCTTGCAGTTGTTCATACATTTATGTATTCTTGATATTTCCAAGCTAGAATTTTCACGACTTGTATATGAAGAACAAGTTAACCTTGTCTCTTTCTATTTCTGTGTAGGTAGCTACACACAGTGTAGTTGGCATCACTATAACAGGGAACAAGGGCTACTCAGCTTGCCTGCTGTAGGGTGTAGAGGTGCTGCCATATGAGTTGGGAGAAGTGAAGATGGGAAGGCATTGCTTGAGCTCAAAGAATTGTGATATTTTTATGCCCTAATAACAGGGCAGAAGTGCTCGGTGCAGGGAATGAGAGGGCAAAAGCCATTTGCTTGATTCTTTTCTTCAGTAGCTATGCTTTCCTGCTGTCTCTGAAACTCCTGTCTGTAGCAACACTTGGCTTTAAGTAGCAGATGAGGAAGTTATTTGGCCCTTTGAACATAAGGAGTATGTGGGCAGGCAGAAGCATTTTGCAAGCCAGGCTGGCCCACAGGCTCGCTAGCTGGATCACTTTGCTCAGGCTGTTACAAGGTTCAGTGTATAATTGGGGCTTCTCTTGGCCTCCCAAAAGAAAGTTTTGACCTTCGTGTAACGATTTATTTTTATACTGATTAAAACTGGGGGCTGGGCAACGGCTGTGATGCATGCCCTAATTCAGCTGACTTGATTTTACTGCAGAACAAACACGCTGTTGGAGAAGGTTGCCTCGGCTGTGGATCAGTCAGCGTTCTACAGTGCTCTCTGGGGCAGCCTCCTCACAAGCCCTGCAGTTCGCTTGCCCGGGATCACCTATGTCCTCTCCCATTTGAACAGGAAGCTGTCAATGGAAGATCAACTCTACATTATCGGCAGTGACATTGAATTAATGGTAATGTATCCGTTGAAACAATGAAGACATTGGTGTTCCTTATTTATATACTTCCACGGGAGTTAGATGTCTCCTCTATCTTTGAACATAGCCTTTGAAGAGATAAAAGTGCACGTTTGCTTATGATAGCTCCAGTTAAGCTGATGTTTTTCTGCATGATAATAGCCTTGCAAAGCAGAGTTAATGTCTCAGACCTACTTAGGTTTTGTATAAAACTTTCCATTCCTGACACACTTCAGTTACAAATGGTTTTATTGTATTTAAAAAGAACCCATATATATAGTAGTATTTTGTTTTTTAAACTTAGGATATTGATTGGCAATATAAACTTAATCTTTGTACAGTTCAGGGAATCTGTGCTGATTATATGTTTCCTCAGTAGTGAAACTTTTTATTTTCCTGTTTAGCTTTTTTTATTATTTAGAATGACCCTATTTCATACATATCACCATTTACAAACAACTGTTTTTATTTAGTGTTTTCTTATATCTTCCTTCTTAAAACAATACACTAAATAACCATTTTGGGGTGTCTGCTGTTACTTCAGGTGGAAGCAGTAAGCACATCAGTGCAAGATACCAGTGTTTTAGTACAGAGGAGCACGTTGGACCTTATCCTTTTTTGTTTTCCTTTCCACATGAGCCAGGTAGGTTATTAACATGAGAAATTAATTGGCACACTACTAAATGCACTCCACTTCTTAAGTCACTAGCAGTATTTAGACAGTTTTTGTTAATGACGTTTTCCAAGCTTCAACAAGAATCATATGTCAGAGTTTCTCTGATAGGTTTGGCTGTTCTCATCTCATGATCTCTGCCCTTCTGCTTTACAACTTGGTATGGTAACTGTGAGGTTAAAGTTAGCTTCTGTGTATGCAAACCCAATATAAATTATGATGTTTAGTCTGTGTAGAAGCTTTTAATTTGCTCTAATTTGATGAGAAAACAAATTATCTGTTCATGTGCAGTTTTCCAATTCTCAGTGTTGAAAAGCAGCAAAAGTTAATCCTCTTAGCATAACTGATTCAGAACACTAGAGAAATGAAAATGATTATTGGTTTTGGGTGAGTAGTTAGCCCTAGCAGTAGTGGGAGATAGACCTTATGACTTCTAGGTGATTTTTTTTTTGGACTGCATTTATTGTTAATCACTTTCTGGTTTTAAGTGATCCGTGATTTGTTTTTCTTCCAGAGGAAAACTGATACTAGATTGATATTCACCTTGTTAGAAATTATGGAAAACCTGCACATTCCTGTAAAAAGTACTGTGTGGCAGTGATTTGTTCACATTTATCAGTTACTATAGGAATATTTGGAGTGTCTTTGTTTAGGTGCTAGGATGGTGAAATTATCAATAAAGCACCATTTTCTTTATTATTAAGCCTTACACAAACATTTGAAGTAGGAAGAGATTGAAAGATACTGAAAATTATGCAGTGATTATTTTTTTTTACACTGGATTTTAGTTGCTTTTGCCTAATAAACAAAATGAAATGTAAAAAAATGGAGTCAACTATTTTTGCTTTTCATAAAAGGTACATACTATTACAGAGTGTCTGTTACAAGGAATCGTAATGTGGTTTCCAAAGAGTAAGATTGTTGTACTATCCTGAACATGAAATTAACTATTTTAGTGCACATTAAGCTGCTAGCATAGAAAAAGTGTTCCTTTTCCTAGTTAAGTCTGATCATGCTTCTAACTTCTTCAGGCAACACGTCCAGACATGATCAGAATTTTGTCAGCAGCTCTTCACGTAGTACTGCGCAGGGATATGTCACTCAACCGGAGGCTTTATGCATGGCTTCTAGGTAGGTTTGTGCTTCATTCCACGGTTCACTTAACAGTGGAGAAAGGATCGTTTGTTCATTAGCAGTATTTTGCCATCTAGCAGAGAAAGATTCTTGGAAAAATGAAATTCTTAGTTTGCGTCATAAGGAAGAAGGGCTCTGTCTCTCTCCGTGGGCATAAAAGATGAAGGATGTCATGCTGGAACTCATTCCTATTCTATAAATTATTGGTAGATTTTCCTACAGCAGCAGTTATGGGCCACAATCAGGGGTAGAGCCTGGTGCACCTCTATTCTGCATGCAGAACATAGTTCAATGCCTTTCTGGGTAAAAATAGATTAAGGACAGGAAGCACATTTGTACTTCTACCAAATGGCAAAATATCAATACAATACACATTTTTTTAGTAGGAAACCAGCATGTAATGAGAAGAAGGGAACAGAGAATAATAGCTATTTAGAAGACTCTGTTTAAGGAATATTTAGAAAATTAGAAATTAGAGTGTTTTCTAAAACACTCTTACCCTTGTTACTTTAAGGAAATGAAGCCTGTGGTCTCATGAAACTGGCCTGTTTCTCTTTAAAACCACTTTCAGGCCACTTTGAGAGAAGTCAGCATCTCTGACATGGGAATTCCGAAGACTGTCCCAGGAACTGGTGGCTGAATGGAGAGACATCAAGTGGTTTCTCTACTTGAGAAACTCTACTTGAGGAGAAGACTGTTTTAGTTTGGCTTCCCAGCTCACCAGCAAGCACGTATGTGCTGCTCAGGCTACCCAGAACCCTTCCCTGCAGCTCTTGCATCTTTTCCAGCTGATAGTTAAGGCTTCAGAGACAAGTAGCCTGTGGGTGTCTGGGGAGCAAGGAATTAAGTAGTCAAGGGACACGAGACTGAAGTTACAAAAGGAGGGATGAAGTCAGCAACAGTGTTTTGCATGAGGGGATTGGGTTTGCTGCTGTAGGAGTTGCAGGGATTTAGAAGATAAACATGAAAAAAAACCCCTGCCTCCTGTAATGAATCATTTCTCAAGATACTGACTTGCAAATTACTCATCTTTCAAAGAAACATGGTGAAATACATTATAATGCTCCATGCATACGTTTTCCAGTTTAGGTAAAAATAATTTCTAGATTAAACACGACACTAAAGTTTCGTTTAAATTTGGTGGATTAGGTATGCCTTATTACTGTCATTGAAAAAGATATTTTATGCATTTAAAACATGTTGCTTTTTCAGTTGTGGAATCATCTACAGCTATTTCATGAGCATAGTCTCCACTAAAAGATGTAACTTCAGAAGATTGTTTTACAGTGACTGTTCCTGGTCCTGTTTTGTGAACAGATAGTCCTTCCATTTGTTGTATATTTGGACAGACCTTCTGGCGTTATAGCTTTTTTGCTTATATTTCTTTTGACGGCGTGTTGCTTTTATACTAACATGATATTCTACTCCTAATATACAATACTGGAGGAAGGGAGGTCAGTTATGTTGGAAGACTCTCTGAAGTCTGATGTTCTGTATAACGTTATTTAATTCCAGTGTTTAGCTGTTCTTTCCCATTGTTTTATAGCTGGGAGTAGTCTGTTAACATGCTTTAGGCACAAAAATCATATTGCATCTCTTAAATCCAGGTTAGCTTAACCATTGTTAACAGTGGTCGTTTTAAGTTGCTGCTAAGGGGCATGCTTCTTCTCAGGCTTCCCTTTATTTTTGTCACTTCAGGACCAAAACTGTGGAAAATGCTTCTGTGGAACGGGGTGATAATCCTGGCAGACTACTCTTTTTTTTTTTTTTTTAATTTATTATTATTTTTTCCCAAAGCCTAATTTTTTGTAGAATAAAAAATTTACTTGGCAAAAGATAAAAACCTACAAAACAAGGGTCTGTCTCCTTCATGTAATTTTGAATAACAAAATTGATTTTGTGTAATACCACTGTTAGTCTCTCTAAGAGCCTTAGTCATGTCAGCGTGTTTTGGTGATCATCTCTATTTAAAATACTGAATTTTGTTTTCTCGTAATATTAATATTGAAATGTTTTTGTAGGACTTTTTTTTTTAAGATACTCTAGGACTATGTGGTTTGTTCAGTATTTGTGAACATTTTTTTTCTTTTGTATCAGAAGTAATGTGGTTAATAACGTTGCATAAAATTCCAGTTTGTATTTTTGTGTGCAAACTGCTTGCATGGAAGTATCACTTAGTTTCCTGTATTAAACTCTATAAAATCATCTTTCTCTTGCCAACATTGCTTGGACTTCATCTTGGTAAGTTATCAGTGCTAGTGTGTTGATTTCTAGTTTAAACAAATTGGCAAAATATTCTATTAAGAAACAAATACTTATTTGACTTGTCTTTTGTTTGCTTGAAGGTTTTGATAACAATGGTGCACTTATAGGACCCAGAAGTACAAGGCACAGCAATCCTGAGGAGCATGCCACTTACTATTTCAACACATTCTCTAAGGAGATGTTAGTCCAGGTAGCTATATGATGGTTTTTTGTGGCATATGTATCATCTTGCCCAGAGAAGCTGTGGATGTCCTATCTCTGGAAGTGTTTAAGGCCAGGCTGGATGAGGCTTTGAGCAACCTGGTCTAGTGGAAGGTGTCCCTGCCCATGGCAGGGGGGTTGGAACTAAATGGTCTTTAAGGTCCCTTCCAACCCAAACCATTCTGTGATTGTATGATGATTCCATAATTCTTAAATGGATGCTGATCAAAGCTGCTCTGTCTTTATTTTTTAACTTGCCATTTCTATGTGACCATGTAATTTTTGTCTTTCTCTGATATTGTGGCCTACTCTTCTAAAACCTTCTCAGTGGAAAAATAAAGATATGGGATAATGTGTTTCTTTAGAATAACAGTATGTTCAGCACAAATATTCAATTTCTGTCTCTTCTCTTCCACAATAATGTAGCATACATGGAAAATAGTTGATTATGAGCCCAGCACAATGGAGCCTGTTCTTTCATGAGACGGAATTGGAGAATTCTCTTCTACTTCTGTAGATAAGGAAACTCCTCTGTGTCTTGGGAATTGGAAAAAATGTGATGAGCTAGTACTCAGACCTTCTGAGTCAGAAGGGTTTTCCTTCCCTCTAGGCAAGGGCAGTGTCTTTTCTGCTGTCCATTGGCAGTCAGGAATAGCTGAGCAAATTGGCAGTCATACTACTTGACCCTTAAAGCCTTGCTAAGTGAGCTGAGATCACCTGGCCTCAAGAATTGTGGGCCTTCTCTTGCAGTAACTAAAGTATACAGATGTCTTTCAAGATGCTGTGACTCATCTTGATATCAGGAAGACATTTTATCATTAAGGCAAATTGATAAGGTCAAGATTTTTCTAACACTCGGTCAGAATTACAGTGCTATATATGGGAATGGGACTGGGGATTCTGATGGTAGTAGCTGACATGAGTATATTTAGTTCATCACAACCTAAAGCTGATACCCAGCACAGAGCTAGCACTTTGTTTTATCTGAGGGTAGTGAGATTTGCTGTTCTGCTGATGCTGCACCGGAATTCTGGGGTTTCTTCCTCAAGGATGTTTTTCGCACGCTATCACCCTTTTCATGTCACCCTACTGCCTCCCATGGCAGATGATTCAGAAGTTATCATAGTGTAGAGGAGAGAGCTGAATGAAAGTTTTGCATGTACCTTCTCTACAAAGTGTGGTGAGCTTTTAGTGACATTTAAGCGTTTGTTAATAGGTTGAGGTGTTCCTTTTAAATCTGCCCATCTTTCTAGCTTAACCAGTGTCATTAGAATTTCTGTGTCTGAAAAGACTAACAACAGTGTAGAGTTGATACAGTCCATTTGATGATCTTTTTTTTTTTGGTAGCAGGCACTCCTGCTACAGTAGAATGGAGCAAGGCTGTTTTTATAACAGGGATAATTCAGTTGTTTTTTGCTCTAAAATTTTTTATGGACATTAAAATCGGTGGCTTGCTCTACATAATACAAATTGCATGTGCCTTCTAAAACCATTTGCTGTCTTTTGAAAGACTTCAAAAGCATTGCTCTTTTTTGCCTTCTTCCCTAGAAGTTTCTTTGTGTGTTCTTTTATCCAGTCCACCCCCATCTTATTCATTGGCACAATGCACTGAAACTTCCAACCTTCTAAAAGCATATTCAAGTACAGAAGATTTTTCTTTCAGGATACTGGCTGATAATAACGTGCTTTATAGCAGATAGGAAGGTCGAACCTGTTTTCCTGCCTCTCTTCTTGCCCATCTCTCTTTTTCCTCCTTTGTCCTCCTTTTTTAGAAGCTGTAAAAGAAAAAATAGTTTTGACTCGGTGGAGCCAGCCACAGAGAGAAAACTAAGCAAAATCTATCGTAGCTCTGTTGAGCTTTTTTTAATTCTGTAGCTCATTCCCTAGACTGCTTCAGTATAGAAACTCAGTTTTCCTGTTTGTTTTGAAGTTGTCATTGCTATCTAGTCAAAAAAGTTTTCTGCCAGAAGTAAATCCTAGGTAGAGACATTGTTATTTATTAAGCTGGTAATATCTACATGGCTTACCTTGTCAAACATGTCTTACCTTTGTCTTTTCATGTCTTCTCTTTTGTGAAATTTTGAGTTGGTATCTGTTTATAATATTTTATTTTGACTTTAATTATATACAAGTTATCAAGTTCTGTTCCACAGAAGTATTCTCATAGGCAAAGTTGAGAGAATACTTAAGCATGGAAAGAATGAGCTGCAGTGAGGTGAAATAGTGGTCCCCACTACGGAGAATTTTCCCTTTTAATGCAGCTTTTATTGCATCTTTCTTCCAAAAAACTGTTCTCTGGTTGTGGTTTTATTTTCCTGATATACTTTTGCTCTTTATAGGCAATGGTTGGAATATTACAAGTTAATGGGCATGGAGAAGAAAGCACACTGATGCAAGACTTGAAGCCTTTTCGGATTCTTATCAGTTTGCTGGATAAGCCTGAACTAGGTAATTTTCATGTTACTTCTAGTCTTTAACTTGTTTCACATGTTTTTGCATTGAGAATTTTTCTCTCTTGTTGGTCAAATTGAGAAAGCTGTATTCTTAGTACTGGCACATTAGCTAGATTTCTTGGATCTTCCATGCTGGTAGTTGAATGTATTCATTAGAGTTACCTTATACCAAATGCCGTTTCTTCTACTTTCAACACAGGAAATAGTAAGTTACAGTCAGAGGGAGAACTGGTTGCATGTTGGAACGAATGCAGTTTGGATCTTTTTTGTTTCTTTAATCAAATAGTGACTTTCACTGTTCTAAATTTTAGCTGTTGCTTTTGGGAATAATCTGCTTTTTCTTTTAATATACACACTGAGATGAGAGATACTAAGAGAAGGGTTTTCTTTTTTCCCTGAAGAATTTATCCAGAGAAAGCAAATTTGTTTGTTTCTGGGGTTTTCTTTGGGGTGGTGGTGGTTTTTTTCATAGTGGGCTTCTTTTGGGTTTTTTTGTGTATTTGTTTGGTTTTAATTCTCCTTTCCTGTGTTTAAATGCACTTTTTAGCTGTTGTGTGCAGAGGACTATAGGACAAAAGCATATGAGGCAAAAGTATTAACAAGAACTAAGCGTTGGATATCTTGCCTTTTTCTTTGGAATAACGGTTTTTGAGGTGACTAAAAAAAATCAAAGTAGTTTTTGAAGTGTATCCTAAGATTTGGGGGCAGGATAATAAAAGCCTAAAAATACAGCAATTAAAGAGCACAACTTGAAATGGTTAAGACAGACCGCAAAGAACAAAATATCTGACAAGAATTTGTCATCTTCCTCATAATTTGTGGCTTCTGGGAGTCACTTCAAATTTTCGGAGGCAATGTGTACGTTAAGATTTCATGAAGTAAGCAGAGCTAGGAAGATTCTTTCAGCAACTGAGATGGAAGAAGCTAATAGGATTTCTACTTAGTGCACTCTCACTGAAGGAAGCATAATAAGGCTAGGAGACAGCATGAAAAAGGCAAAGAATGTTTCAAGCAGGATTATTTTGTGAAATCCTTACAAAATAAGTTGGTTTTTTCTTCAGACTCGAGAATTAGCTCAATTATGAAGGAGGCAGTATTTCGAAGAGTGTCCTGCAGACCTGTATCTGCAATTAATTATCCCTCAAATTAAAAGGAAGATACTCAGAATATTTTACCTTGTATTATGGAAGATGCTTAAAAAAATTTCACCTTGTATTTGCATTTAAATATTTGAGTGTATTTTCCATATGACAACAGCATGAGCTAGCTTGGGTATTTGAAACTGGCTGAAACCTACCTTTGATCAGGAATCCAATTTTACATGTTACTGATCTGAGCTAATAATCCCTGAAGGAGGACGTGTTGGCTTGAACGTGGGCTACACCGATGCGATTGTGTAGCTTTCAAACTAGGTGTGTTTGTATCCAGCCATCACTGTACACGCATTGCATGGGGAAAGAACTCCGCTTGCGCTCTCTGTGCTTCCGGGCATTACAATTGCTTGTGTGTTTCTGGAATGCAGAAAAAACCTTCTGAAATCAAGGTAGTTTATGAAATTGAAGAGAAGGAGTTTGATGGTTTCAGTGACCAAAGCTAGCTAACGATTTGGATAGGTTTCGGATGTGGACTGTTAGCGGTGCTATAATGCTTAAGGCTGTGACTGCTGGTATTTCTCCCTAGGCCCTGCCATCCTAGAGGATGTGTTGATTGAAGTGTTTCGAACTTTATATACACAGTGCAAAGCAGAACTGGAGCTTCAGGCAGAACCTTCTTTCAACAAAGATCACACCCAGCTAAGCAGGTGAATAATGGGTATAATGTATTTTGTATTAAATAATACATCTTTTTGTTGCTGAAACCATGGCTGTGAAGCCTGTGGGACTGTGATCTGGTGTCTTCATGATACAGGATTCATCAACATTAATTGCACCTTCTGTGTTCAGTGCAAAGGTCCAAAGGGCTATGGTTGTTTTTGTTGGTTTTTTTTTTAACCTTTTAGCATCTTTGTCCATGACAAAAATGCTTGCTTGATGCCAGATGTCAGTATGTCAGTGTTGTCGATTACCTGTGGCATTATTTACATCTGTGTTCTTAAAAAGAAAAAGTGGACTGATGAGCTTTCTTGTAGAGTAAAAATGAAGAGTGCTACAAGACAGCTAGAGAGGAGGGTAAAAAGAGATTTGAGATTTGAGCTAAATATCTGAAAAGGTGGAGAGAAGAAGGAAGTTCAAACCTTGGGTCGGAAGGAACAACTGTGGGAATGATCATGGGAAAAGACATCTATTCAAAATGTGGTTAGAAGACACATACTGAAGAGAGGATGGAGAATAAACCTGGCAGCTGTGAGAACTGCTGGGAGGAGCTGGCCAATATACTGCCCAAGAGCAACAAACACTGTAGGAATGAGAGGAGGTTAATTTGTCAGCATTAGCCACTGGCAGTGGGTAAACTCAAGGTGATACGTAGTTAAATAACTTGGAAATGAGGTGTAAAAATATAAAATGTTCTTTTTTTTTTTCTTTCAGCAAACTGAGAGAAAACAAGAAAACGGCAGAATTGATTAAAACTGCCAATCTTCTCTTTAATTCCTTTGAGCCTTATTATATGTGGGATTACATTGCTCGTTGGTTTGAAGAATGTTGTAGGTAGGTTATAATACTTCAACTTTACACATACAGAGATTAAGTTGACTTTTGTTTCACAAGCTTTTTTTTTTCTTCAAACAAGTTAGTCTAATGTGATCATTTAGTCTGTAAGTCTTTTTCTTCCCCGTACCTTTAATTTGATCTTTTGACTAATTTCATTTAGATATGATTGATAGTATCAGTAATGTGAGTTCTCACAAACTCAGAGTCTGGGTAAAATGAAGAGACAGAATTAGCACCTCTGCTGAAAGGAAGGCTCCAGAGTGATCTCAAAGCCAGTTTGTTTTGTTCTGTCCACTGCAGGATTACTCACTGGTTGTCTAGCAAACCCATCAGCTTTACCAAGAGTGACTTGTGGAATGCATTATCTTTTGCCCTTCTCTTTTAGAAAAATAGTAGTGTGGGAATCCTGTACATGGCAAGGAGGGCTAAGGAAGGAAACACAGTAAATAAGAGAGAACTGAAAATATTAATGTGACTGAGGTGGACAGGAGAGCAGAGGTGGTTGCTGTGGCAAGGGATAGATGATGTAGGGATTTCAAATTAAATTTGTGTAATATTTTTCATTGCTTATGGAATAGCCTAATAATGCTAATTATGAACCATTGTGTATTAAGATATTTGGACACTAAGTTGTCTGTGAGCCAACAGTGTGCTGTCATAAGTCAAGAAAACTGTGTCTTGGGCCACATTAGAGGGGTGCGATCAGCAGGTGAAAGGAAGTTACTTTCCCTTCACTGAGTGTTTCTAAGGTCACATGTGGCATATAGTGTCCAGGTTTGGGCACCCTGCTTGAGGTGGAATGTTGAGAAACTGAAGAGACTCTTGTAGTGGACTGCTAAAATGGTGAGAGTCAGAGGACAGTGTGTGGGAGGTTGAGGTAGGTGAGTTTGGTTTAGCCTGGCAAAGAGGGGTCTCGAATAGCAGCCTGTAACTTCCCAAAGGGCATTTACAAAGTTGATGCAGCCATGCTTTTAGTACTGGCTGATGGTAAAATAAGGGATGGCAACAAGTGTTGGCTCAGGGGTTCAGGTTGGACTTTTTGGAAAAGCTCTGCAGGGACCATGGTGCAGCAGTGGAATGGGTTATGCAGGAAGGCTGTGGAGTTTCCTTGGGAGATTTCTAGGACTCTGCTAGACAAAACTGTGGATGAATTTATCTACTGTTGTTAGCAGTCCTGCACAGCATGAGAAGTTGAGCTAGATTAAATCCCTTCCAACTTGTTTGTGACTTAATTCTTGTGTATTGGACTGAATTGCTCAATATAAGATAGCAGTCTACAACCAGCTAAGAAGGAGGTGAGAATTTCTCTACATACAAGTAGATGCTACTGTGAGCGTGGATACGAGATTGCCTTATTAATAAATAAATGGAATCTGGAGAATGTTTTGGGTTTTTTTTCTGCATGAGCTGCTGTGTTATATAAGTTACTGCCTTCCAGTTTAAAAAGGCACACCATAACCAGTTGATTTTAAACCATGAATTTGTAAATTATCTTTCCATTATCTAGTCTGATTGCTGAATCACAGTTACTGCTTTTACAGTGATTTAGATATCCCTGTGTTTGTCTTAAGCTTTTTCTTATTATTTTCCCCCACTAAAAATTAAAAAGAGGATTTCTTGTATATAGTGTTCTCTCTCATCTAAATATTGCTCACTGCTACTGAGCCTTTTCTGAAAGCTATATTTGATAAGGGGCTCAGTGAGTTGAATTCAGGTCATCCTTTATGAAGTATTACAGTTGAACAAATCTGCGAGTAATTCATGAAATGGTAAACCTTTCTGGGTAGGAGCACAGAATGTGAAAAAGAATTTGTGTTATGACCTACACAAAGGGACCATTTTGCTGAACTGTGAAACAGGCTGGTAGTTTTGAAAAGAGAATTATCTGTTAGAGAGATAGAGTAACCCCATCGAGGTGTGGGTTAAGTAGAGGGCTACTTCTTGAACATAGGTTACTGATAGAATGCAATTTAAATATGATTTTAAAAACCTTCTGATAAATACTTACTGTCAGTGTTTCAGACTTAGTTTCTGTAATGCTTCTTTTATTTCAAATAAATCCTCTTTTGGTCCTAGCTTATATGTTCATGAACCCTTCCAAAACAGAGGGAAAGGATTAGCATAACTATTGCCGAAAATGTGACGCTGCCCTCACCACTACCCCCAGCCAAATATATGAATTAGAGAAACAAAACACTGTTCTGTGTTACAATCTAACAATATTATAAGCAAAGGATATGACGATGATTTCGCAGGAGATTTGTGTTCTGTCTTGTTTTTCTCAGCAGTGAAACTCATCAGATTATGAATTCTTGGCAAGAGTAAAACAATGCGGCCAGCTGAAGTTGAAGTAGACGTTTAGAGGAGCTTCTTTTGTTTTCCTCTTGCACAGCTTTAAAGTTTCTTGGGCCTTTTATTTCACTTTTGGTTGTCTTTATCTCAAGTGCTTAATGCCTTAGGTTCAGTTCTCTTCAAAATTACTGTGCTACCAGTAACACTGTCCCGTAATTCTATTACTGGTGCCCGTGCTCATACTAGCAAATATTGCTATATATGATGGAGTCCCAAATGCAGTTGTCTGTATCCTGGATTTCCTCATTTTATGAAAGGGAAAGGCTGGTTACTGCTTTTTCTGAAAGCATGCAGTGAGACCAAATGAGCTATTTAACAGTAAAATGGGAGATTGTTTATTTATTTATAGGGATTATCCCTGATGTGTATGGCTTTCACATTAAGTTACAGAAACCTGGTCAATGCAAGGGGGAGGGAAAAACATTGTGACACCCTGTTTGAATTTTGCAGGAGGACATTACATGCCAGACTTCATACTGGACCTGGAGGTGGTAGTGAGCAATCTGAGCTACCCCTGACAAATTTCTGCTTGTTAGTGGATTTTTTGTTGGATATAGTTTCTTTGGTAAGAATTGCTTTATTTGTTGCTAATACTGGGATTCTATATATTTATGCTCTACAGAAATACTGCTTTATTAATTTTTTTTCCCTGAAAATGTATTGCCACAAATTGGTGGACATCTTCAGGAAAAGTTTTGGTTTCATTGTATGAGTCTTGATAGACTGGTTGGATAGAACCAAAATGGTTTTTCTGATGCTTATACCTGAAAATTTTTGTCTGTCCTTGATTTTGTTTCTCTATAACTATACTATATTCATTACAAGTAAAGGCTTTTGTAGTTTGATGTGTTGTTTAGATGTGCAGCTTTCTTTAAAGGCTCTTTTAAATGTCATGATAAGATGTATCTTCTTTTTCTGTTGGCATTGTTTAATGCAACAAAGACTGTTGGAACTGTTTTTTCTATACCTGTCTTTCCTCAATTCTTTGCTTTCTCATTTCAAAGCCTACTAGAAGTATGAGAGTGCTGTGTCAGGTATGGCAATCAGCCTGTTTTCCCTTTAGTTCATGTTTATCTTTCATTCTTACAGTTTTATATTAAGGTTATTAAAAATAGTAGTAGCATTCTTTAGCCTTGTTGTTATGTTTTGTAATGAGTTTGCTGTGTAATGATCAAGACGTAAAGTTCTGAAAAAGAGCTAAATATATTTCTATTCGTTGGTTACCCAACTGTAAAGTTAATTTTATACATATTTTCTTTTAAGTGTGTATTTTCTTTTAAGCATGTATTTCTTATTCTTGGATGTTAAGATACTAATTTTCATTTTTCCATGTTCCGTACGGTTAGAACACAGTTAAGCAAATGATAGGTACCACTGTTACAGAATATAACTTCCAGGGTGGAATTTGGTGTTGCAATTAATGAGTTTTACTATTACTTTGTTAGGAGACTTACATTGAAATACAGACAGAACACTTGCCTCAGCTGTTGCTCAGGATGATTTCTGCGCTAACGAGCCATCTTCATACTTTGCACTTGTCCGAGCTTACTGATTCCCTCAGACTCTGCTCGAAGATCCTTAGTAAGGTTCAACCTCCTTTGCTGTCAGCTGGTACAGATGGTGTCCTGCAGCTTTCTAGTGGACACAGCAGCTCCATCAAAGAATGGGAAAATAAAAAGGTAACTGATTCTGTTTTGTAGCATCTTGGAAAAATACTACTTCTGTGGAAAGGAAATGTGAGCATTTTAAGTCTGTGCTGAACCACATGCAAGTCTTTGCTTAGATTTAGCTTTAATATATAACCGTACACATGAAACTTGGATCATCAAAGGAATTGTAATTGTGCTCTTAATTGTGGTAAAAGGTCTCGATTCTTGGGTGTTTTTATCTAGATTTAATATTACACATGTATAAATCACTTCAGAAGCAGGGCCTAAGAATGAGCTAATCAACTAAGGTTTGAAGCTGTAATTCACTCAGAGTCTGACTGTGTAGAATAACTGAACACAAAAAATACTCCATTTTGGTTACGTATTGGGCCTATGTAAATTCTCCTCTCACCTGTTTTATATGCACCAGATAAACACTCATCAGATTATCACTGTTAATTTCTTAGAATCATTTAATAAAGAAATAGAAGAATCAAACCAGCCAGCAGCTCTTTCTCTCCCTCTTTTTAGCACAGTCTAGTTTGGTCTATGCAGCTATGGCTCTTCAAGGTACATTAGGTGACATGCCCTGAAATCCTTGTTCTCCAGCTGAAGAAACTAGAGGATCATCATAGAATAATTTATTTTGGAAGTGACAGCTTCAGGCCACTGCTCAAAGCAGGGCTGATTTTGAAGTTAGATTGTAATTCAAAACTAGGTCAGGTCACCCAGGATCATACCTGGCTTATTTTTAATATCTCCAAGGATGAAGATTCTACAGTTTCTCTGTACAGCTTGTTTGTTTGCACTGTGCTATTTATTCAGAATTTCCATTGTTGCAGCTGGTGTTCTTTGCCTCTAGTTCTTCCACTGTGGGTTTCTGAGCACGCCTTCATCTTTTCAGCCACCTAATGAAAAGTCACAAACAACAATAAAGACACCTTCTACTCTTCCACAACTCTTAGCATTATTGCTAAGATTGAGCAAATCCAACTCTCTGAGCTTTCCTTCTACGTCAGGGGCTCCTGTGGTGGCCCTCCCTTGGATTTACTGAGTACATCAATGTTTGTTTTGTACCAATTAGTGCACACCTGGACACAGTATTCCAGATGTGGTCTTGAAACTGCTGAGTGGAGGGGACTAATCACTTCCCTTGTCTTACTGGCTATACTTTCACTAATACGTTTTGCCAATTCCTTTATGTGGTTGGCCTTCTTCACCAGAAGGGTCCATGGCTGGCTCATGTTCATTTTGACCATTAGGACTTCAACATCCTTTATGCCGGATCCCATCCTTACTCTTTCTAGCCAGCTGATACCTGGTTTTGGTATTTTGCGTTTTTTCTTGTTTCTTTTTTTTTTTTTTTTTAATAAAGCCTGGTTTGATTGATTTATGTTGCCCTTTGAACCTTCAACAGCCTTTTTCTTTCAATTGCAACCAACTCATGTGGCCATGGCTTCTGTTAAGAGATACAGTGAAATTAATTACCACATTTCTGATCTCTTTTACGTTGTATTTTGTAAGATGGGGTCAGGTTTTTAGTACACATTGAAACAGGGGACAGGTTGTCTCCAATACTCACTTTCATTCTTACTCCATCTCTGGTAAAGAAGGATGTAATTCACCACATGTAATGATGACTCTTTTTCATAAATACATAAAAACAGTTATTCAGATTTCTGGATTGTGCTCAAATTCTGTATTTAAGGCAGGGAGTGATTAGGTTGTGAGAGAGCGAGATATCTTCTGGGTCCGTTAAATCTCAGCCAACATCTGCCATCACCGGTAAGATAGTTATATGAGAAGTAGGTAGGTGTGTTCTTTACCTGCATTTACTCACATTGATCCATGTGTTTCTGTTTAAGTAGTTGTGCTGGATTCAGCACAACAGCCGGAGTTAAACCACGACAGTCCTTTTCCTATTCACCTCACATTCTCATCAGAAAGCAGGGATTGTGTTACCAGTTATCAGCAAGACTACAGGGACTTAGAGCAGCCCAGAAAGCTGCTGTGGGTTCTTTTTGAGTAGAAATCGTTCATCGGATTTTTGGATATGCCTGAACTGATAAGGAATTAAGGTGCACAATGAGTCATGAAGAACTGTTGTTGCTGGAGCAACCCTTCTTTCTGGTTTCTAGGAGAAGTTTTTTTGTGCATTTTCTTTCTAGCTGCAAATGGTTAGTAGCTTCTAAATGAAAATTTATTTCTTCTTATCTAAGTGTAACTTTGTATTTGAATAAAATCCCCAACTTCCGAATCTCAGAATTGGTATATAAGAATAAAGAAGCTAGTTTGTTAAAGTTGCACCATATATGCGTGTAAGAATTACATTCTATCCACATTTAATAGACAATTTCTTATGTCAAAGAGCGTAAATTTTAATGAGAAATTGAGCTGGCTTTATTAGTATAAATGTGAAAGTTGACAAAATGTTTTTTAGGTTATGGAAGCTTTTGTTCTTCGTTTACCACTCCACAGTTCACTTTTTTTAAGGTGTTTTGGCAACTTAGAGTTGTAATGTTAAATGACACTGATCCTGCCTTCCTAATGAGATGAAACTTTAATAGTTTTTGCGCTTCTATCGGTAGTATGTCTAGACAGTTATTAAGGTGAAATAATTTAATATCTAATGTGATTATTTACTTACAGAGTAGGAACTTCAAAAGCCTGATCAGAGAAGTGTGTACTTTTTCCTGCTCTCTCAGGTCTTCCCATTCTTCTTGGCAAACATCTCCTTTTTGTCTCGTTTGCCAGCAGGCATTTTTCACTCCTTTACGACTGCAGCAGTTTCTGATTAACAGATAAATATCTTATCCATTTGTAGTATGTGCTAAAATCTAAAATATTAAAAGAATCTTGCTAGCTAATGGGACCATAAGCAACATATTTCAATGTCCTGCTTCCTGCTGTAAGTGTGGGGTTTTCTTTGATGTATGAATGTTTTGGTTTATGAAGCTGTATAAATTAATAATGCCCATGCATTTCAGTGTTCTTTAATAAAAAATAGACATGATTATGATATGAAGAAAATGTTAAAAGCAATAATATTTGAAGTAATTTACTTGATAAACAATGCTTTATTTTAATGGTTAGCTTGGTCTGGCAAGCTTACTGAAACACCAAACATCATTTTGTATAAAATGTATTTACAGGAACAGATTTAAACCTGTGGAATAAAATTGTTGTTTTCAAATGCAAAGCAAATAAATATTTTCTCACTAGAACCTAAATAACCTATTTTAAAGAATCATTAAACTTTTATGTCACTCAGGTGCCGTCAGTTTCACTTGAAAATCCTAACGATGTGTTTGAAGATGGTGAAAATCCTCCCAGCAGTCGATCATCGGAAAGTGGATTCACTGAGTTTGTACAATACCAGGCAGATACAACTGATGACATTGATAGAGCACTGAATGAAGGTCACGGTGCGCCTGGCATTCCTATTATTGGTAGCACGTCTTCGGAGACTGAGACAGCATCAACTGTGGGATCTGAGGAAACCATTGTACAGCCCTCCTCAATAATGACACAGGGGACAGCAACTCGGGGTGGGAAAACCATCCAGAAGACTGCAATGCAGTGCTGTTTGGAGTATGTCCAACAATTTTTAACCAGATTTATCAACCTGTATATCATTCAGAGTAATTCCTTGTCTCAGCCCTTAGGGGCAGAGCTTCCAGTAGACCCCACTAGAGAACACGGACAGACCACAAAATGGGACAGAGAATCACAAGCTGATGCTAAGGTGAAAAAAACAAACAAGAAAAAAACACCAAAAGAATACCTTCCTGCCTTTATTGCTGCTTGTCAGCTGTATCTTGAATGTTCAAGCTTTCCCGTTTACATTGCTGAAGGAAACCGTACTTCGGAATTACATCCTGGGAAGCCTGACGTTGGTAAGCTGCAGTCGTCTTTGTTTTTCCCTTTTAAAATATTAATTTCTTCCCCACCCCACCCCAAAAAAAAAAAAAAGTAATAGTATTCATCCTTTGTGTGTGTTGCTGTTCCCCTCAGAAATGTAAGTTTCCTTCTGTATCAGTTGGTTTGCCTTTGGGAAGCTATTTTCTCATAGTTTTTAAGAATGTGGCTTACATGGGGTTTAACACTAATTAATATTGGGGTGACAAACATAAATTATGTAAACTGAAGCCTGAGAGTTTAATCTAGATTTTCAGATTTCATCTTTACTGTATGGATCCACAGTATTTTCTTTGTCATATTTTGTAATAGCCACAGCTGACATCAAGTATGTTTTTTAGCTTCAGCGTAGCAATTTCGGATTGATGTGCACATTGATCACTTTGTGCAATACATGAAAACTCTAATCTTCTGTCCAGTAAAAATCATACCAGATAAGAAAATAATTAATTTTACTTTGCTCCTATTAAAGGGACAGTTCTTGCAAACAATTCTTCTAGGTACAGTTGCATAAGGAAACAAAATGAAAACGGTGGGGTTTGTGAAGTGTGAATGTGTTTACAGATGGGGCAACACATTCAGGTTACAGAAATTTGAATAAAATGTGAGTTCTGCATTACTGTAAAACACAACTGTTTAGATGGACAATCCCTTTTGTAGTCTGTAAAGTCTTCAGTTTACAGTTCGCATTTTTGTTCCATGTCTGGAACCTTAAAATGGTATCATGGTGGATATTCTTGGAGCACACAAGACACAGTTACAGTAACCTTGGCTACTGTCACAGTCACCTGCTGTGATTTTATTTTTTCTAGGAAACTTCACGGTTGCTGCTTTTTGTACTTATCCACAACTTTCAGAGTCTATTAATGGCTAAGTGGTGGGCACTACTTGGAATTGAATGAGTTTTTGGCTTTTGGAAACAAGCACGTTAATTTAACATGACTGCTGCTTCTATTTCTGTAGTCTCTCAGATGTGTTGTGTATGTCTTCATTATACAGCTAGGAGCAGAGCATATCTGACTTTGAGATCCAGACGTCTCAAAACATTTATGTCGGTTGGAGGCAACTTCGTTACAACTTTATTAATTAAGGGTATTGCATGGCTAAAGGCGTGCTACCTTTTGTAAAGATCTAGTACAGGATATTCGTGGTTCTATAGCATGAACCTGAAAAATGTGATTGATTCATTCATTTATTCCAAACACTAACAGCCTGCAAATTACTGTTGTGGCAGAAGACTAAAATTATTTTGAAAATCAGCTGTTTGCTTGTTACTTTTCTGTGTGGTTATCACTTTGGATTGTTGCTGCCTTGTAAACACTAAAGCAGAAAGCTTGTAGGGCTTGAGTCACAGAATCACTAAGGTTGGAAAAGACCTATAAGACCATCTAGCCCAACCATCAACCCAACACTACCATACCCACTAGACCATGTCCTGAAGTGCCACGTCTACACTTTCCTTCAACACCTCCCCCACTTCCCTGGGCAGCCCATTCCAATGCTTGACCACTCTTTCAGTGAAGAAGTTTTTCCTAATACCTAACCTAAACTTCCCCTGATGCAACTTGAGGTCATTTCCTCTTGTCCTATCACCAGTTACCTGGAAGAACAGACCAGCACCTGTCTCCCTACAACCTCCTTTCAGGTAGTTGTAGAGAGTGATCAGGTCTCCCTTCAGCCTCCTCTTCTTTAGGCTAAACAGCCCCAACTCCCTCAGCTGCTCCTCATAAGACCCTTCACCAGCTCTGTTGCCCTTCTCTGGACACACTCCAGCACCTCTATGTCCTTGCAGTGAGGAACCCAAAACTGAAGACAGTACTCGAGGTGCACCCTCACCAGTGCCCAGTACAAGAGCACAATCGCTTCCCTACTCATGCTGACCACACTGTTCCTGATACAGGCTGAGATGCTGTTGGCCTTCTTGGCCACACTGCTGGCTCATATTCAGCTGACTGTCAGCCAACAGCCCCAGGTCCTTTTCTGCCTGACAGCTTTCCAGCCACTAAGTATGAGCCACAGAGTTTGAGTAGTATGTGTCTCGTGTGAAGGCAGTGATGCTAGGAATCCTTTTTACTTTGTTAAATGTCTGGGATCTGTGTTGATCCATCATCTGAACCTTCCCATTTGTGATGTTTCATTTGCAGTCTGTTGATCAGCCTGACTTTGAGGAATAAGCATAAATTGTAGGAGGTTGAAATCAGTGGGAAGGATTTTGTTTCGGATGTAAATGTCTGTTGTACAGAATGGCAGGGGGTGCGGGAACAGTGATAGGAATAGGGCTGCGTAGCTGTCCCAGGACTCCTGCTTCCCAGAACAGAGAATGGGAGAAGGCAGTTACCATAATTCACACACCAGCCTTAATCTATTGATATGTTTTTTGTACTGCAGAAGAGGCTGTTTTTATTGAAGGTTCCTAAATTTGGAACATGTTTTTGATGGGTTGCATTAGTGACATGACCCAATTGCTTTTAATCAACGGTGAGAGTCATCAGTCTGTTTATGTGAAGGAGCTGAATTAGTTTGATATTGATAGAACGTAATTGTCCTTACATTTTGCTGTATGCTTAATTGCTCAAATGCATGCTATTTTTAATGGAAGAAAAGAGGAGCTGAATCAAGCTCAGAATAATGTTTGTATCTGTAAGCTCTAGAACATTATGTGGAGTTGTTAGGTATATTTAGGCTCCAATTTACATTGCAAAATTAACTATTGTGGATATAAATTAGAAATTGCACCTTCCTTCTCTTAATTCTAAATAGATGCTGTATTTGTGCCTATTAAATAACATACCTTCACTTGTGTCTGAGTCTAGAAGCATTTCCCTGTTTTAGGAACATGACCAATAGAATCCTTTTGAAATTTTAAGAAAAGTTATTTTGGTACCTCTGAAAGAAAAGGGTGCATTATTCACTTGGAGATCTGCCTGTGAACTTTGGAGAAAGACACTTGCACTATCAGGAGAGTGTATGGTGTTAAGTGAGGGGATGGTAAGAAGGTGAAAACAACCACCCACAGTGAAAGCAGAGTATGAGCTAATAGGATCAAGGTTCTGCCACTCAAACCATCAATTTTCAGACACTTTCACTTTTGAAGTGTTTTCAGGAAAATATCTTTTTTTTTTCTGTCAGTGTAAACTGGTTTATATGTATAAATAATGTATGTAAATAATTCTGCATGTATATATTATGATACCTATATAATAGAGCATAAATATAATACTATTTTATATGTGAAAAATAATACAACATTATTCTAGACTACAAACTGCAATGTTAAGATTTGATTGCTGGTCAAGAATTTCCAGAAGGAGGGAAGTGAATAACAGGATGTGCAAACTACTAAAAGACCATTTTTATCTAGAACATGAAATCGTGTGAGTGCAATTCCATAAAATTTTCCTATTTATTTTTATTACTAAATGTTTGAAGTGATACAGTATTGCATTCTTAATTGGATTATTTTGAAGGTAGAGATAGATACTTCTTGGTGTTTCTCCTGCATACATTTTCCTAAGCCCAACTAACCATCAGGTTGAAATATAAGAGATAAAGGACAGTTGTGCATATGGTTACGGGATACAAGAGCAAAAAAATCATGAAACTTCATGATTGTTAAATGAATAAATCATATCTGTTTTTTGTTTCAGACTGTGAACAAGTACAGCCTCCACTGTGGCTTCAGACTTTAATGAACGCTTGCAAGCAAGCAAGCGATTTCAGTATTCACGGTGTTACCATTTCCCTTGTGATGGACTTGGTTGGATTGACTCAGTCGGTTGCTCTCGTCACTGGAGAAAACCTGAACAGTGTGGAAACCGCTCAGCCTCTTAGCCCTAACCAGGGAAGGGTGGCTGTGGTCATCAGACCTCCTCTCACTCAAGGCAACCTCAGATACATGGCTGAAAAGACAGATTTCTTCAAGGTACAAAGCAATATCTCGCTGATATTTTCTTCAGACATATTTTCCTGGCTGGTGAAGACTGATAAGTCTTGGCCACTTTACCATTCTTGCTATGGTAAACCAAATTTTCTTGCTGAGTATTTTGATAACAGTTGTAACCTGCGTTAGACTGTGAATGAAAATAAATAGTAAGTTTGCCCACTGTTACTGTTTTACTGACTCCTCAAGGGAAAAGCCTTGTTTGAATGAATATTTAAAAAATACAAACAAAAACTGATTGAATAGCATCATTTGCTAGCAAAGGTCTGAAGCTGAGATGTGCGTAACGTGTTGCACTCTGGCAAACCACCATCTCTGAATTTGTGTAAGAAATCATTTAACAAAAGATAATCAGCAGCAGGGTGTATTATGTAGTTGATCATATTGCAATGAAATTTTACTTCTGGAGATGCTTGTGAGTTCTGACCTCTAACAGAAATTTTTATGTAGTCCGTTATTGCGGTGTTACAAACAGTTCCTTATGTTCATGTGAACAAAAAAGAATGGTTTTAAAGATCACCTGTTGCTCATCAGGCATCATCAGATGTGATGTCTGCCATCATCATTGCATAGAGCTCAGCATAGTCCACAGCAGAACAAGGCATGACACTCACTTGTCTCTCTTGCAACTTTTGTTTTCATGCACAAAGCATATAGCTCTAACTCTCTGGGACCAGTTGGGTGATGGAACTCCTCAGCATCATCAGAAGAGTGTGGAGCTCTTCTACCAGCTGCACAACCTCGTTCCATCTTCTAGTATTTGTGAAGATGTGATAAGTCAGCAGCTGACTCACAGAGACAAGGCAAGTTGTTCCTAGATTTACTGAAAGATGGGTTAAGTGTATGTTTGTAACTGTAGGAATATTTTTAGAAAAAAGGACACGGTACCTCAGAGGAGGACATAAATAACTTCAGTACTGAAAAAAAATGTTGCTTTACATTGATTGTTTCAAATATTAAAAATACTGTTATCTTGCATGCAGAACATCAAATCTGTCCACCCTCTGACACTGCCACTCTCCTGTATTCCCACTCACAAGAAACCTCAACCATATGTCTGCGGTACTTGAGCCCTGTTTTCATGACGTCTTGGCGTTTCACAAACCTGTGAAAAGTGTTTCTAGTGGCAGTAATTGAATATCAACTTTCTGGATTCCATTCCATTTGTTGTAACCACTCTTCTTTCCCTGGACACATCCATCAGACTTAAGCATGCTTTCTTTTGCTGTGTCCTAACCAGTTGGGGTTCAGTCCCCTGCCTCCTATTTCATCTAATTCTTGCATCTCGTTTTATAATTTATCTTAGAATCTAGACTTTCTGCTTCCTTTCCTCCGCAGAACTTGGAGAAGGAGAAACAGCCAAGTTTTTGTCATTGCCATGCCTCTCTCGCTTTTCTTGATAGTGGGGCTGGATTGCTTCTTTCTTAAGAGACAGGCAGGTGTGGTCCCCTCTGTCCTTTGGTCCTTTCTCTTCCTCTTTTTCTCTCTCAGCTGAGGTGCTCTTACTGCCTTTCTCTTTGTGTCACCACCATCTTATTAGAGTTCCAAATCTGTTTTCAATTCCTTTCCCTTTCTGAGACACAGCCTTATGAATCTGCTGCAGTTCTTACAAATATGACACTTCAGCTTTAATTCCCTTTTTCTTTGAGCAGCAGCAAATTGGTTGGGTTTTTTTTGTCTTTCTGACCATTTATATATTATCTGATTCTGGCTCTTTTTTGTATGAGTTAATGTAAATGTGAGACAAAAGAGCAGCTTGTAATTATTTTATTTTATTTCTGGGTCCCAAGAGCTGTGCTGTATTGTTCTAAGCTCCATCTTCTGACATTTGTCTCAACTGTTTTCAGCTGAAGTGTGTCTGTGAGATTCTTTTTCCCCCGTTAGGAAGTAGAGGAATTGCGATAATCAAATACTTATGAGGCTTCTGTACAAATCTTCTCCAATCTCATGCGGCCCCTCTCTACTTTTTCAGCCTTAAAAGATCTGAATTCTGAGTGTTTCTGCAGTGTTTGCCAGTTCCAGAGCACCACTACTGAACTGCTCCAAGAGTAATTAATTGCCAGTTGTGTGTGCCTCTGTGTCTTTGTGGGAAATGTGCTTGCTTGCTCTGCTCTGACGTGGCAGCTGAGTTGTTTGTGTATTTCCTCGCAGTGATGCCTCTGAGGCTACTCTTTTTCTTGAAGGTCTTTACTTTCCATCTCTGTCTCATGTTAAAAGACATGGACAATAACAGGAGCAGAAACCCTCGAGTGATCAAGGAGCTGCCTCTTTGCCTTGGATAACAATGGTTTCTTGTTATTACTTTGTCGCTTGTCCTGTCTCCTCTTCAGTTCCCGCAGGTTGTAATCTTTGCTCATGACCTGACTTTGTGGGTTTCTCCCAATTTTTATTGCTGCTCAAGGGTCTCTTGTCTCCCTGCTTGCTGGTTTTAGAAGTGATCCTGGCTATCCTATTGCTTACTTCTGTTTTGCTGTCTGTTTGCAAGTACAGTAGTGTTTTCAAAATCTTTTGAAGCTGGCAGATATTCAGGTTGTTGACAGTGTTTCTTTTAGATCTGGAATGAGCCTCTGTAGTTTCATGTTAGACAAAGGGGGCCTTACAGCATTCAGCAACAGACTTATGTAGGAGACTTGATCTCATCAGAAGTTATGCTCTGCTTCTTGATATATGAAACACATGCTTAGCTTTTACTATTGTTAGTAAACTTGGAGTCCCTGTGATGACAAGTAGAACTATCTTTGTTATTTTTTTCTTCCTCCCCTAGAAATTTGTTTCAGATTGAAGCTATCAGTTTGACATTTGAGCTGAGGCCTTTGTAGTGCTTTAAATTTTAGATATGTGAACTGTTTTCATAGCCCCAGCAGAATGAATGATAGGGAATTGCTTGCTTACGTGCTCTGGCAACTCATGGTTGTGCAACTTCAGAAGCAGTTACCTTTTTGCCTTTCTACCAGAGTAACCAGGTCCACAGAAGTGAATGTGAGCCAGTCTGTCAATCACTGCAGTTCACGGCTTGGCGTATTGGTAAAACTGACAGTGATTTATGGTTTCAGTTATTAGACTGGTCTGTGAACTGCTGTGACTGGGGATGGGGCACTTGATCATTTCTGCCAACCTTACTGTGAAAACAGTGATTTCTTACATCTTCCCAGCATGGTTTGCAAGGGCTTGCATGGAGTCATTTGTATGTGTTTCAGAGCTGGTATTTTCACTCTTTATTCAGTGGATGTTGGTGAATTGTTGTGTGTAACTGTATGTAATTTGCAGCAGTGCTGTGGAGTTGTTTGTTTTTCCTGTGAGAAGCATATTTTTTCTAAATACATATGATTCTTGCTTTACTTTCCAGAATGTTGCTGTCCATCTTCGGGTTTTTTTTGTTTGTTTGTTTAAGTCTGATGTGATCTGTCTTCTGCCTTTTCTGTAATTTTCAGTTTTTATAGCTTTTACTTAAAATTTTCATTGTTGTGGCAGATACTGGTTGTATTAGCTGTTGCAAAGCTTCTTAAGCTGTATGTTGTAAATTAAGTCTGGCAGTATGCCAGATTGTCACAGTGGTATTAACAGTTTTTAGTTTGGTCTCATTTTGATTAGAGGCAAATACACCTACTGTTCATTCCCTGGAAGCATATGTTTTTAAGAACATACAGGTGAAGACCTTTGTCATCTTGTCTCTTCTTATCATCCAGTAGTTTATTTAAAGCCCTAATGGTATTTGAAAGTAATTTTGATGCTTTATTCAGTGTAACCGTCCTGATTGCTGTGCTTTGTTTGTTCACCCCTACAAATGCTTAGCTGCTTCCTTGTCTCTTGGGTAAAGCTGTTTTTCATAGACGTACCCATGTAATCATATCATAGCGTGGCATTTACCATTGTTCACAGCCTTGCTGGAATAACTCTCTGCCTTGATCAGCCACAGTAAAGAGAGAAAGGCATACAAATTTTTACTTTAATGCCATTTTCACCATTAAATATTCTGCATGTTATTGGTAGTCATCAGAAGTCTTTTGGGCAGTAAGCATGTCCAGTTTGTCCGAATAAAACTCACTGTTGCAGAGCAAAATTTGCCATGGTAGTGATGAACCCTATCTACATCATACCTAGCTAGAAAAACTCCTGTGTCTCTTTCTAGCCAACTTATTTCCATTCCTGTATCTCCATGGATACTGTATTTAATCCTATCGTTCCAGACACACTAGCTCTAGAAAATTCTCTTCTTTCTCTGCATTTTCTCTCTGCCTCTGTATGCTTGAGTTTCATATAAAAAAGCTTTCATGTTTCTGCCTGCTCTTTCTTCATAATCTCTTCTTGTGCCTTGATACATATGAACTCACTGGAAACAGACCTATGCAACTTGTGACAGTAAAATAAGTATTGTTCAAGCTATCACATAAGTATTTAACTTTTTCAAGCTAAACTTTGAAACTAAGGCAGCCAAGATCAAGATGGGGGCAAATCCTTTCATGCTACTAAATTGTTTGCAGACACCTATTGTTGCCTGTTACTGCTTTTAATGTTACGAAATAGGATTTGAATGCACAGTCAAAGAAGTTAATTTTAATGATTTTATTACATCTTTTCGGCTGCTGTATAGCTCTCTTTGTCCAGTTCTTGTCCAAGGCTGTTGTATTCTGATAGACTTAACTTTTAATTTGGTCCACAGAAAGTAAGAATGGAAGCTCATGCAAAGTTTGCAGTGCTGTGGCATCTCACCCGTGACCTTCATATTAACAAGTCTTCTTCCTTTGGCCGTACCTTTGACAGGTTGGTGATTGCAAGCATGATTTCCCTGTAATAATTATCTTCAAAATGTTTGACTACACTATGCTGGCAGCATAGCGTTTAAAAATTGGAGAACTACAGTGTCAGTGTGAGAGCAAGGAAGGAGGACGAGAAATTAATTCGTGTGAGACAAAAGTGTGTTCACAGTGATGATGATGTAAAGCTGTAGATTTTTCTGGTAGCTGTAAAGAGTAGGACAGGAACGGTCACAGTGATTCATTGACTGTCACAATATTTGTGTATATTGTACGTAGTATCTGAGTTCTTGTGATCTGGTGAAAACAAAAGCAGGAGAGAGAAGTCAAGCCAGAATTGAATTATGTGAAAATGGAAAGTAACAGTAAAACTAAGAAAACTTAAGAAGAAAATTGGAAGTAAGCTCTCAGATATGAAAATTCTTTTGTTTAATCTGTGTGTTTTGTGTAAGGTGTCTCTTATGGTAAGCAGCAGAGGATTTCTCTTTTGCATTCGGGTATCAGACTATCTTAGAAAAAACTAAATGATCCAGACCCTGAACTAGTCTTGTCTTCCTCTGCTAGCACAGATGTGGAAAAGTGCTTATTTAAATTTCCTAATGTATACTTAGCTGAAGGAAGCAGATTAAAAAGGCTGTTTCTTTGGCTTGATGCCCTCATTGCAGAGGTAGTGATAAATTCTGTAAGTACAGCTAAGAGCTTGTGGATGTGTAGTAGTGAAGGATACAAAACAGTTGGTAAAATTCAGAGGCCAATATATATTGGTTTTCCTCAGGTCTGGAAAGCATTTTAAAGGCTAAAACTATTAAAAGAAGAAAATAATGACAGTAAGAAGTGCTGAATTGTCAAATGTATTTCTCCTGTTCTTGAAGAAAAGATCTTTGAATAAGTTATCTTTTTTCCATGCATCTGTGTGAATTGGCTTTTAAAGTTTTATCTTTTTGTATTGCAGTAGCACTTAGTAAGTAACCAAAGCTTCTTATGCTAATAGGTGTACGAATACTTGAAATAACTATACAACTGCTACTGTTGGAGCTGCTGTGTTAACTGACTTTATCACTAGCCCTTCCTGGCCATTTCTTCATTAGGCTAGACTGAAATATAAAACTTCAGGTTGCAGAGTTTGGATCCCAAACAGGATGATGTTTTATATGGAGAAGACATTGGAGTATGTTCTGACATGTTGAAATTTATCATATATCAGATTGAAAGGGCATTATTCTGTGTGTAGCGTAGAATTTGTTAGGCTCATTCTTCTTTCTATTTTAGATCTTTGTTTATCATGCTGGACAGCCTTAATAGCTTGGATGGTTCTACATGGTCAGTGGGCCAGGCCTGGTTAAATCAAGTGCTTCAAAGACATGATATTGCAAGGGTTCTTGAACCTTTGCTCCTACTGCTTCTCCATCCAAAAACTCAGCGAGTTTCTGTTCAGCGAGTACAGGCTGAATGTTACTGGACTAAATCACCTTATCAGCCTGAAGAAGAAAATGAGAAGCACTTTATGCAGAAGTTTAGCTGTGCTGATGGTATGTACACAAGAAGACTGTGGGAAGTTACTTATTTAATTTCTTTGTTATTTGCATGCAACATTAAAAACATAGTCGAAATATTTGAGGGTTACTCACAAAACAAAGTGCTGGAGTAGCTGCTGCTTACATGTGCATTTGTGGACGCTTCTTCTCTTTTAAGTTTCTGTGTCCCAAGTATTGTTGCAGTTTTATTGTACTCAAGTGAAGATGATGTGCAAGTATTTTAATGCAGAGCATTTTCTTGAGTCTTACTAAACTTCAGTAGAACTTTAGGAAAATGGCTTCAGGCTTAACCAAGAAATCAAACGCTTTTGTGAATTAGGACCACTGATGTGGGGCTGGCTGAAAACGTACTGGTAAGGTTTAAAGGTGTCTACATGTATTGTGTAATTTTAGTGACATAATAATTCTTTTTAGTGAAAACACAAGCAGGTAAGACTGCATAAGGTTTGATGGGAGAATTATGTTGTTTTGTTAAGGTCTACTGCTGAAGTAATCTCGCTTTGGTTATGTGAATGTGCCTTGATTGCACATTAGCATTATTCTTTTTTTCTGCTGTAAAGTGGAAACACACTATTTACTGTGCTTTTGTAATTGAAGTCTGGTTAATAGTTTAAATTCATAATTTTAATTCTAAATTCTTATTCTGAAGAACAAAGTATTATGTGTATAAATTTTCTTGTGTTTTCCTTTAAGCATTTTCTCACGTGCCTGTAAGCCAAGACCAACTTCTTATACCTAAAGAAGGCAACGAAAAACAACCTGCTATGGATGAAATGGAGAACTTCAGCCTGACCGTCAACCCTCTGAGTGACAGGCTTTCCTTGTTAAGTACCAGCAGTGAGACCATACCAATGGTTGTGTCTGACTTTGACCTTCCTGACCATCAAGTTGAAATACTGCAGAGTTCTGACTCTGGCTGTTCTCAGTCATCCACTGGGGACATCAGTTACGAAGTGGAAACAGAAAGCCTGAGTGCTCAGGATAGCTCTCAGACTCTGAGAGAAGACTCGCCTGATGAAGTTGTACAACAAGTGGTTACAGATCTTATATGCAAAGTTGTAAGTGGTCTCGGAGAAGAGGCTGAACCAGCTAAACATAATCTACACTCTGAGGATGCTTCGTGTAAATTCAGTCCTTTGGATAACTCTGTAGAGATAACAAAAAGTGAAGATCAAAATATTCAAAGTAGCCAGAGTAGTTTGCTTAGTAATGACAGCTCCCAGTTGCTGTCAGCCTCAACTGAGACTGGACTTGAGAGCTTAAGAGATGAAATCTCAAGGAACAACTCTTCACCCTGTATTGCAGAAAGCCAGCAGTCCCTCTCTGATCTCACTCTTGCTTCCACTGACTCAAAGTCCAGGAAGCGAAGCCACAGTAGTATTCAGTTCAACTTTAAGGGAAAGCTACCAGAAAAAATGTCGGAAAAAGAAACAATTGTTAAAGAGGCTGGTAAGCAACCAGGTGCAAAACCAAAGGTGAAAATAGCCAAAAAGAAGGATGAAGAGAAGAAGAAAGCACAAACAGAAAAGCTTAAACAAACAAACGTCTTCTTTAGTGATGGCCTTGATTTAGAAAACTGGTACAGTTGTGGAGAAGGAGAAATTTCAGAGATAGAAAGTGATGTGGGGTCCCCAGGAATGCGAAAATCTCCCAACTTCAATATCCATCCATTGTATCAACATGTGCTGCTTTATCTCCAGCTGTATGACTCTTCAAGGACACTGTATGCTTTTTCTGCGATTAAAGCAATTCTGAAAACAAATCCTTCAGCTTTTGTAAGCGCTATCTCCACTACCAGTGTCAACAATGCATACACTCCTCAGCTTTCGTTGCTCCAGAATCTTCTAGCCAGGCATCGAATTTCTGTTATGGGCAAGGATTTCTATAGTCACATCCCTGTTGATTCTAACCATAACTTTCGGAGCTCTATGTACATAGAAATTCTTATCTCCCTGTGTTTATACTATATGCGGAGCCACTATCCAACTCACGTTAAAGTAACCTCACAGGATCTAATAGGAAACCGTAATATGCAAATGATGAGCATAGAAATTCTGACACTCCTCTTTGCTGAGTTGGCAAAAGTGATAGAAAGCTCTGCAAAGGGATTTCCTAGTTTTATTTCGGACATGTTGTCCAAGTGCAAGGTTCAGAAAGTGATCCTGCATTGCCTCCTGTCTTCTATCTTCAGTGCACAGAAATGGCACAGCGAAAAAATGGCTGGAAAAAACATAGTGGCTGTAGAAGAAGGTTTCTCTGAAGACAGCCTTATAAATTTTTCTGAAGATGAATTTGACAACGGTAGTACTCTGCAGTCACAGCTTTTAAAAGTGCTCCAACGGCTGATTGTGCTGGAACACAGAGTAATGACTGTGCCTGAGGAAAATGAAACAGGCTTTGACTTTGTCATAACGGACTTGGAGCACATTGGTCCCCAGCAGCCGATGACTTCTCTTCAGTATTTGCATTCCCAGCCGATAACCTGCCAAGGCATGTTTCTCTGCGCAGTGATACGAGCTTTACACCAGCACTGTGCCTGTAAAATGCATCCCCAGTGGATTGGCCTTATCACTTCTACGTTGCCTTACATGGGAAAAGTTCTTCAGAGGGTAGTTGTCTCGGTGACTCTTCAGCTCTGCAGGAACTTGGATAATTTAATTCAGCAGTATAAATATGAAACAGGATTATCTGATAATAGGTATGTGTATGTAGAGGTGTATAATCTTTTTAAGCAGACTTGATTGTGTTGTATTACTTTACAACCTGATTAACCCATTTTTAAAAAAAACTAATCTCTTTACTTTAGGCCTTTCTGGATGGCATCAGTCACTCCCCCGGATATGGTTCTTACTTTATTAGAAGGGATAACAACAATAATTCATTACTGCCTCCTGGATCCATCTACGCAATATCATCAGGTAAACTTATCTGGGTGTCTGAAAGGTTCCTAAGCAGTACATGTCAGATTAAGGACTATGATTGTATTAGCAGAATTGAAGATGTGAGTGCGAAAAATACCAAATATATCATCTTAAATATAAATACGTTGTTTGTTTTTATAACATACACAAACAGAAAACTATTTTTCTGCTAATTATACATTTAAGAGAATAATCTTAGATTTTTGTTGTTGTTTGGTTTTGTTTGGGGGTTGCTTTTTTTTTTTTAAATTTGTTTCCCTGAATTAACTAAAGTAAGAATTTCTTAACTTTGTGACCTCTAAAATGGCAATTTTAGTGATGTCTTCATTTGTGGAACTTCCCAGACTGATGCCTGTCCTGTGTTCACTTTGTAATATGTCAAAACATTCTCTTTCTGCTCCTTCTGTATATTCATAATTTTTTTAGTCAAGCAGTATTTTTAGATCTGATATTCTGCACATAGCCTCTGTTAAGAATTTGGCCCAGATTCTGCAAGAAATTTTTTGCCCTGCTCTCTGTGCAATCTTGGTTTTGCTTTCTTTTTTTGTTACATACCTTTTGCCTTCTGTTCATTTAAATGTAACCTAAAAGCATTTATTGTTTGTGAAAGTAAATAATTTTGCCTAAAGTATTAGTTACACTTAAAATTCTGAAATAATTGGTTTTTGCGAAGGTATAGGTAGATGATACAAAACTGGTCTCTGTAGACATGAGGCCTCATGTTCAGAATACGTTTGAAATTGTACAACTCAGTTAAAAGATTCTTTAATTATTATTTTTAATAGACTCAAAGCCTGAATATATCATAAGAATTACTGAAAAACTATGTGGAAAAAGATTTAAGGTTGAAAGCTTCTATGCCCATTAGGTCTCGATTTACACTATTTTACTTATGCTGTTTATGTAGATATTTAATGCTGCTCTTCTACTCTCCCCTTCAAATCCACTAGCTTTTGGTTAATGTAGATCAGAAGCACCTGATTGAAGCACGCAATGGGATCCTATCTATCTTGCATATGATCATGTCTTCTGTGACTTTGCTGTGGAGCATCCTTCACCTTGCAGACTCTTCGGAGAAAACTGCTGCTGCTGCATCCATTACCACTATTAATCTTGGGTCATCAAAGGTCAGTATATCAGGGATAATATCATTTAAGTTCTTAATGAATACCTTTGTCGAACTAAATCCCATTCTATTCCCTTAAATGTAAATTGTTAATACCTTTCTCTTCATGTACTCATGCACCTCAGAGACCAGGCTTTTATCAATGGGTGTGGAATCTGCTTTTAAACTTGAGTGTATCAGTTCAAGATAACAATGTCTCACCTGTTTGCTTTCTACAAAGAAAATGAAATCCATCCTGGAAGAACTTAAGCCATTCTTTTATGCCTTAAAAGATATTTTAGATCTGTGTAAAACCTTAACAAAAGGGATCTCTCCTCTTAAAACATCTAGTACTCACACAGTTATGAACTAGTTCTTTTATTCATTGAATTCCTATATAGTGATGTCACAGGGAAACACCATAGCAGATAGTGAGCTAGTAGTCGTAAAGCAGGGAACCTGAGAAGGGGTCAGACTATACTGAGATGTACACTGCTGTCCTGGCTGTGTCCCTTCCCAGCTTCCTGCGCACCCCCAGCCCACTCGCTGGTGGGGCGGTGGGAGGAGCAGAAAAGGCCTTGACTCTGTGTGGGCACTGCTCAGCAATAATGAAAAGATGTCATTATTAGTAGTAGTGTTATTGTTTGCCAATTTAACCAGTGTGTTTTGTCTTCCCTTGTCTTACCACGAATGAAACGATTGAAGAGTGCCAGATGTAGGATAGAACTTTATGAACCCTCTGAGCACATCTTCCCATTTTGATAAAAGTTAGCGATAGTTACCACCCAAGTATGGCTTTATTGCTGGCGGTTTTGAACACGGTGCTGAGGCATGTAGCTAAAGGTGTATGTGTTCTTATTCCACGTTTCAGAATTTGAGGCAGCAGATTCTTGAACTGTTGGGTCCCATTTCAATGAATCACGGTGTTCACTTCATGGCTGCTATTGCGTTTGTGTGGAATGAAAGGAGGCAAAATAAAAACACTTCCAGGACAAAGGTATGTTTATACTACAGTGGTCACTTCAGAGAGTGGTAATGCCTTTAAGTGATTTAGAAACAGTCGGGAGAAAATTCAGGCATCCCAATGAGAAAAAAAATCAGCATATTATTAAATATGGAGAATATTTATATTTCTAATTAGCAGCTCTACTGTCAGGGAGCTACCAGTTTATTTCTGAATGGGATAATCTTCCTGAATTTTTCAGGAAAAGAGTAAGTGATGCCCAGTCTCTAGATGAACTATTAGTCACTAACACTTCAATCTCATCAGGCCAGCTGCCTTAACGTTGGCATAGACCTTATCTGTGAGGATAATCTGTGACGTACATTTGATTCTGTTTAGGTGATTCCTGCAGCAGGTGAAGAACAACTTCTGCTGGTCGAGCTGGTTCGCTCTATCAGCGTTATGAGAACGGAGACCGTTATACAAACAGTGAAAGAAGTTTTGAAGCAGCCTCCCGCCATAGCAAAGGACAAGGTATGAAAATTGTGGAAATGCTGTCGACTTATGTAGTGCCCTCTTACTGAAGCTTAGAACACTGATGATACAGATGCTTCATTCACAGGGCTGAGCAAGTAATTATGCTGCTGCTCAGTACAGGGTGAAAATTGTCATGATATCTAATGGGTGGATGAAATTTTTGAGGGAAGTCATGCCTCCTTAAGTCATTACTATTTACTGAACAACTCCAGGATCCTGGTTACTGCTTCTGTGCAAGACTGTGTTTTGTGGGGACAGGCTCTTACCTGAGGGAAACAAGAGTGTATTGTAGCGACAGGTTGATTTTGGTTTTTTTCAGATGGGAAAGGGAAGTGTGGAAAAGAAGGAATAAAAAAAAAAATAAGAAGGATAACTTTATAGATAGAGATGCCTAAACAGGAAATCATAATAGCCTGTTAATGAATTAAACAGTATCTTCAGACACTGCAGTAACATCCTAAGTGTTGTCATTTTTGCTCTGGCAAATGAGGAAAAAGTCCCTTTCTTCCTCCTGATGACAATAGGTTTTCTATCTTCTTCTAGAAACATCTTTCACTGGAAGTCTGCATGTTGCAGTTCTTCTATGCTTATACTCAAAGGTAAGACAAGAAGTTACATTTTATTTCTGTCATCAAGAAGCAGATGGACAATTTGAATATTTTACTTCTTTTTATAATTTCGAGGATGAGAAACAGCCTGTGTAATATAAATCATGAAGAAAGAATGGTTTTGAACTATAGGTGTCGTAAAAAAGGGATTTATTTTGTGAGTTCCCTAGTTCTGCATGACCTTTCTTCCCTCACCTAAAAATCCTGCTGGAAATCTGCCCCCTGCCCAAGGAAAGACAATTTTAATTGTGCTGTAACTCATTGGTGCCACTCAAACCTTGGACTGAAAAGCGTGTCTTTTGATTATGCTGTTCTTCTGCCTTCCTCCTTTTCTTACTGACTTGATGTAGCCACCAAAAAACAAAGAATCTGTATGAATGTTGGTTCACAGTATCTTGACAGAATTGTGAGGTAAAAAGAAAGTGGAGAATACCTGAGGGATATGATTCTGATTTCATTGCCATCACTGCTCTCTCTTAGGATTCCAGTGACCAGCTTAGTAGATAGCTGGGCAGCACTGCTGCTTCTGTTAAAAGATTCCATCCAGGTTGGTCTTCCAGCTCCAGGACAATTCCTCATACTTGGGTAAGGGCTCTTGGTATTTGCAATTTCCATATAAGCTTAAATTTTAAGTGTGTGAAATCACGCTGAAGTGTTAGTGTTTTCAAATCTGTCACTTATTTTTGAGTGGTAGAGCTATGGCTGGAGTTCTGTGGATTTTATCAAATTAGTTTCTTCTCTGAGTAATAGTTACATATATTAAACTTTATATTATAATATAAGCCACAATCTTACCTTACGGATTATTTGATCAATTCAGGCTCTTTAATCAGCAGGTTTAAGTTTGTGATTTTTCTTAGAAAATAACTACAGCGACTGTCTCTTAGGTATGAGTGGGTTTTCAGCCCACTTAAATATGATTCATGCCCAGCATGAAAGCTGTTTGTGGAGTGTTAGAAGTAGTGTTGAATATGATTCTTTGTATAAAGCCTCAAGGACCACTTTCTTGAATTTCTGGAATTTATCTTCCCTAGTATACTGTCCCTAAAGATATTTTTTGTATAGTCTAGTAAAACATACTCTTGATAAACTATTGCAATATGATCAAAATTAACTTAAACTTGAAAGAAGGTTTTTGTAGACTATTGATAAGTAGGAGTGACTGAAGGATTGATAAATATGCATGGTGCATGCAGATTTATTCAGATTTGTCCTAGCTCCGAAATTACTAAATAATGTATTCTGAGAAGAAATTCTACATCATCCTCCGTTGGTGTTTTTGGTTTTTTTTTTTTCAGTGTTCTTAACGAGTTCATTATGAAAAACCCAAGCCTGGAGAATAAGAAAGATCAAAGAGACCTCCAGGTAAGAAATTCGTTGCATGTACATGTCTCTTTAAAATATGCTTGAATTTACTAGAATTATCAGGTATCAGTTCTGTAGTCTGAAATTATTCTTTAGTATCTTCTACTTAGAATTATTTATAATCTGTTAAAAAAAACCAGTTTTTGTGGAGTTATTAATCACTGGTAATATGGAACAGAAGTGATTTGAAAGCAGCTGTATACTTTATGTAGGTTTTCTATAAAAACACATCAGGGCAACAAACACAGCCCTTCTGCACAAAGTTCTTAAAATGCTTGGGTTGTTTTTTACCAGGATGTAACGCACAAGATAGTGGATGCCATTGGGGCAATTGCTGGTTCTTCCTTGGAACAGACTACTTGGCTAAGACGAAACCTAGAGGTTAAGCCTTCCCCCAAGATTATGGTGGATGGAAACAACTTAGAATCAGATGTTGAAGGTATTTTCATTTTCATCTTTAAAATAAAGTAAACATTAATTATCGGGCCAAAATTAGCAAAGAGGACAGCTTTACTATATTTGAATAAATTAAAAATGCTTCAGTATTGTTCAGGCATTAGTATCTTACACAGTGTCCCTGTAAAGTCTGTACATCTTCAAAACATATGTTATTAAAATATGCTTGTAAGGTAAATAATGGCTTAAGGGAACTAACGTTGGCCGTTTTTTTTATTATCTTCATTTAGATATGTTGTCTCCAGCAATGGAAACTTCAAACATAACTCCATCTGTTTATAGTGTCCACGCATTGACCTTACTTTCTGAGGTAAATGTCTCCTCAGATGTAATAAATACTGTTCTACAGTAAATTTTTATATTGTGAAACGCTTTGGACAAGAAGCTGGGTGAGAGGGATTTGATGGGAAACACTGATGAGAATAGATTCTGGGTCCTGTCATATAAGAACATGTAAAATCTTGTTACTAACCCAGTTACAAAGATTCAGTGGGGTAGATGAGGGGTAAAGCATGGCCTTTCAGATGTGTAGTATAGGGAACTTCTTTGGTGGTAAACTTTGTGTGTTATTAGCGGTATGTGTTATTTACTGCTGATAATTGTAGCCATTCTTGGAGGGTTTAGGCTTTTTTAGTTTGTATCATATTCTGTAGAATGCTTTGCCCAGAAGCTTATGCTGCTGTGCTTTAATCTTAGTTTATTTTAAGAGGATGGGGTCATTGTACTCTGGATTTTGTGTAGTACCTGAAATTTGATCCCTTCTATGATAAACTTGAACATTCAGTAAAGGACATTATACAAAAAAATGCTGAACAGTAAATAAAAAGCATTTTGAGAGTGCATGATAATGTATCTTCCTCTCCTTTTACAGGTTTTGGCTCATCTTTTGGATATGGTTTTCTACAGTGATGAAAAAGAGAGGGTTATTCCTTTGCTTGTAAATATCATGCATTATGTTGTTCCGTACCTCCGTAATCACAGGTATCTTTATAATTTATTGAGTTGGTGTAGGTCTGTACAGCCAGTTGAAATTTGATGGGTGACATTTCAGTTGAAACAGGCATGATAAAGATAGGGTGTCTATCGAATTTCCTATAATGCAACAATTGAAAATTGTTTCATATTGACTTTCTTTTTCTTGTTTAGTGCTCACAATGCATCCAGCTATCGAGCCTGTGTCCAGTTATTAAGCAGTCTTAGTGGCTATCAGTATACAAGGAGAGCATGGAAAAAGGAAGCATTTGACCTCTTTATGGATTCCAGTTTCTTCCAGATGGATGCTTCATGTGTTAACCAGTAAGACTTTCCTGTTTATATCAATGGCTGTTACAAACTTTATGTATAGCATCAGACAAGTGTATGTACAATGTAAACTAAAATTTCTCAGATCACTGTTGAGAGGAATAGCGGGATGTTCTGTGATTTAGATTACCACCTAAAATATGAAACTCACTTAAGGTGTATTTCTATGCACAAGTCTGGTTTTGAAATTTCAAGAATTTTTTTTTTTAACTTATTTTTCTCTGAGGAAAAAGTAGTTAACATTCTATAGAATCATGGAAAGGTTTGGATTGGAGATGGAACCTTTAAAGACCATCTAGTTC